GCTTTCCAGAAACAAATTTCTTCAGGTTTGGGAAGAGATGGAAGTCCGAAGGTGCCAAATCAGTAGAATAGGGGAAATGACCCAGCAAATCGTACCTCAACTCCAGTTTTCCCATTGCCAACACACTTTTGTGTGCAAGTGCGTTGTCCCTTGGTGAAAGATGATTTTTTTTTTCTTCAAGCCAGGCCTCTTCTCGCGAATTTTGATATCCAGCTGGTCAAGAAGGTTAGAGTAATATTTGTTTGTAATTGTTCTGCCTTTTTCAAGGTAATCAATTAACAGGATCCCTTTGACATTCCAAAACACACTGGCCATGACCTTTCCGGCAGATGCGATCGACTTCGCTTTCTTTGGCGCTGAACCACCGGCTTCCACCTATTGCTTCGACTACTGTTTGTTTTCTGGCGTGTAGTGGTGGGCCCATATCTCATCCATGGTGACAAATCGCCGCACAAAATCGGTCGGAACCCTTTTGTATCAATCCAAACACTCCTGCGAATGTCGTTTGCGCATTTGCTTTTGATCCGCATTCAGCAAATACGGCACCCATCTTGCGCAGAGTTTTCGCATACCTAATTCTTCTTGCAAGATATTTCGCATCATTTCTTCCGATATGCCCACGGCCTCAGCTATCTCACACACCTTTACTCGCCTATCGTCCAACACGATATAGTGCACTTTTTCGATAGTTTCCAGTGTGGTTGCAGTTTTTGGCCGTCCTTCACGTGAGTCATCTTCGAGCGACGTGCGACCACGTTTAAATTCAGCTGCCCACATTTTAACGGTTGAGATTGAAGGAGCAGAGTTCCCGTAAACTTTTGTCAACTTCGGATAAATTTCCTTAGGGGTTAACCCATCCAAAACGAAGAATTTTATGACAGCACGATATTCAAATTTATCCATTATAACAAAACACGCGCAAGACGTGTACTGCAAAGACTCGTTTACACAAACTACTTGAGCGAACAAGTTGAAGCTTGTCATACGAACTAATGATATGTGCGCGCAGGCAGGAAAACGTAAACTTTCACCGATTGGAATGCCATTTCTGGGTCAGGCCGAGAACTTTTCACCTTGCCCTCGTATATTTACAGGATAAAGCATTACTTAGAGGTTACCAAAGATTGCCGAACATCGTCGGGCAATGCAATTTTTA